GTTTTTTCCGGTTTCTAGCCACTTGAAGTGTGTTTAATTTGGAAATAGCCGGGGCAGAGTAGTCAATCCGTTTCAGGTCCGGCGCATGTTCCCTGGTCGTTCTGGGGACTCCGGCCTGGTCTCATCTATGTAATGCCATAGCCGTACAAAGGTGCGACCCCCCACTCTTTTGTCTAGTTGTCTAACTACCAGTAGCGTAGTCGACACGATTTTTCCGTTTAATTTTAATTCATCCGCAGCCAGTTGATTTTGAGCTAGAATCAAACGGCCACGCCCATTCACGCCCCAGACCACCGCTCTCTCTCTCTTTCACGCGTCAACTCGCCGATAAACTGCGCGCAGCGTTGCCGGCTGTTCGAAATATCTGGCTGCGGCTTGGATGGGCCACGCCCCCAATCTAGCGCCTAAAACTCTCCACCATAGCAATATAGATAAATAGTATGCAGGTAATGTACTCTAAGGAAATGGTTGTTGATGTTGTTTTCGTTGTTTACTACTAATGTTAGCTGTCTCAGAGTCTGTTTAACGACGACGCCACGTCGCCTTGTAGCTGAGAGTAATTGATGTAAGCGGCAACAATGTTCGCGTTGCCCGAATTGAACTAATCGTAAAATTACTTTAGTGCGTAGTCAACAGTGTAAACACTAGTGGAAGCTAGAGAGCCGAGCGTAGCTTAGTCGAATGTACTGCAGCAGACGCGGCAACAGCGCGACCTAACGATCCTTCCGTAGCTTAGACACGTAGCTGAAATTTCATGAATGCCTTGATTTTTCTCGATCATTAGCCAGTCTAACTATTTAGTCCGTTTTTTCCGATTATCGACACCGCGCTGACACGTCACGTTCACTAATGGCTGTTTTCGTTTTTTTAGATTTTATGTGGTCGTTGGGCGCTCTTCCAGACGGTGAGTAGATGATTTGTGCAACCAGCTGGCAACGTGGCAACCATGGTTGCCACGTTGCCCACTGAAATTGGCCGAGTTGCAGCAGTGAACTAAGCAAGTGGTTTTTCTGTTGTGTTGCAGGTTTTCCGGCAGCCGCTTACGCAGCATACGCGGCGGGGCGTGGCTACTCGGGCTACCCTAGTTTCGGACTGCCCTATCCCACAGGTAATGGCCTAGCGGCTCATTTACACCCCCATCCACTGCAGCCGCTGCTGTCGCTGCCCCTCGACCACGCCCATCAGTTGGGCGTGTACGGGGGCGGCGGCCACCTGCAGGCCCTGCCCCTGTGAACGATACGGGCGGCTTTGGCGCGTGCGCCGCCCCTGCCCTACTCGGTGACGGTCGTGCGCCCCCGCTAAAGCCGATTGTTCGTTGTTGTTGATGCGCTGTTGTTTGATTGGTCGTGGCGCGCCGATCGGCAATTTCTCGCGGCTCCACAAGGTGTCCATAACCTCAAAAACAACGCTCGGAAATTGCCAGATCCACCCAGGCCCACCCCCCTAGTCTTCTTGCTAGCATTAGAGGCTCCTCTACAGTTACTCAAACGTCCCCACCCTGATTCTCGCCAGCTTTAGCCAATATTAACGAATAGCGTAGGTGCGCCCAGGTCTCCGATCGGAGGCTCTATCGATGTAATCCACGTTAGGTTAGGTTGCTCCCTATTAGTCGTTTGTTAGGTTATAGAGCCGATAAAGTGCCACACGGTCAGATTTCGTCCCTGTTTCCATCCGACGCGTCGGTGGAACGTTTCGTTCACAGGCGCAAGCGCCGTCATGCAGGCTGATGCGCAGAACGTCCGAACTAGGCGTACACCCAACCGGTGCGCGGCTTTTCATTCGCGTTGTCTCACTCTGCAAGCATTCGACTGGTCGCTTGTCGTTTGTTTGTTGTCTCTCTCGCGCCCCCCCACTCCTCTATTTTAGCTGAATTCGAAGCGCTTTCGCTTCCCCTCCACATATCGCGGCACTTTGAGGTGGGAGGCGGGGAGCGATCGGCGCCTGAGCAGGAATAATTCCGAGTGCTCGGTAACGAACCAATCACCCCCCACCCCCACCGCGCCCACCACGCTGTACATACACTAATGTATTAGACTGATAAGTATTCGATGTTATGAGACTGTTTGCTTGGCTTCGGTGTTGCCACACGGCACTATAATTATTATATTCGCAACGTTGCCGCCGCCATTGCAGCAAACCTATTTGTGAAATAAACGCACGTATATCCAAGGAAGTTCAAGGACAGTTTTTCTTCTTTTTCTTTTCTTGATCTATGTGGTTTGTGAGAGTGCGAGGGAGTGCAACGGGGCTTTCCCCCTACATAACCGCACTTTTGGGGGGAGTTTTCGCACAGTTTCGGGGTAGAGAGGTCGGAAAGCCCCATTGCGTCCCTGTTGGTTTCCCACCCGGCCTGGCAGGCAATTGGGGAGGGACGGGGTGACGCGTCAAGCTGGCAACGTTGCCCGATTTAAGTGGTGGGGACACGCCCCTCCAATTGCGTGCCAGCCACCTGTTTAGGTGCGCAGCCCGAGTGAGTGCACGAGCAGCAGGGCGCAGGTGGAACACACAGCGACACTGAGGGGCGAGTAATCAACTAATTGTAGCGACCATGTGATTTGTGATTTATTATTCTTATTATTATTATTGTGATTAATTGCTCAATAGACTGTTGTCGATGTTTAACCTTAGCCGAGAGACCGATTAGCAGTAGCCCAGAATAGGTAGACGTTCGATTAACCGACCATGTAATGTGATAACCGATTGGTAGAGGGCAGTGTTAACAGTGATTTGTTAGTAGTAAATGCGTCATCGAGCCGGCCCTGGCCTGGCAGCTGACGCATTCACTGTGAGCGATTAATGTACATCCAGATCTAGATTAGACGAAGTAGTTGATCTAGAATTAGACGCGAGTAGTGACTTTCAGGCGGTTACTAGCAGACTTAGTTAGCAGGGCGCAGTGCCCTGATTGGTTTAGCCTCAAGCTTCTAATCTAAACGTCATCAATTTCCTAGTTTAACATAGCTAACTGACATAGACAGAGATAGAGAGAGTAACGTACACTGACACACGCCCACACTAGACCCCGCCCCCCAGCCACTTGACCGTTCAGTCCTGCGTCCGTCCGCTCCCCGCCACTTTCCAGCCCGGCCTTTCTTAAGTTAGCGCAGCACGTGACGTTGAGCTAGCTTAAGGTGGGGACACTGATCACTACAAGCAGCGTTGCCAGCCGATCGCGGTTTTCCGTAATAGATGGAATGAGTGTTTAACTAGTAAGTAAGTCAGTCGACTTTCGATGTACAGAACGCTAGAAGTACTAGCGCTGGCAACGCTGCCTACCCACTAGCCTAGCAGACATTAGTCGTAGTCGAGCGCCCTCTGGTGTGTGTCTAGCGTAGTGTTTTCGGCCCTGCGCGTGTGCGCCAACCTAAGGCTGGACGGGCCCCGAACACCTCCCACCACCCTCACAGTCTCTTACACGAATACGCNGCTCCGGCTGCTGTTGACGTGCCGGCACGTCACTGTCACTGTCAGCCCGTCCTAATCTGATTTATCTGTGCTTTCAGTCGACCTAACCAACGGCCAATTGACGCCCAACAATAACACGCCGCTACTGACGCAGGCGCTTTCAGGTAAGCGTGAGGATGGCGCTGCTGGTCGAAACGTGCTCAATTGCGGTGTTGTTGTTGCAGTGATGAACAACTACCAGGCGGCGGCCGCCCAGGGCTTCGGACCGCCCGCGTCGCCCCATGCAGCGGCCGCCCAGAGCGCCCAACGAGCCGCCTTTCCGGCCGCCTCCAGCCCCGGCCCCGCCCTCGACATGTACAACAGCTCGGGGGGCGGGCCTGGGGACAGTGTGGGGTACGTGCAGGCGGCCAGTCCGCAGCCGTCCAGCTTTCCGGCCATTGCGGTAAGCCGCGCGCCCCTGAACTACAGCCCGGTGAGTTATAAAGTAAGCACCCATGTTGCCACCGCCCTACTGTATTTTCGGGCGTTGTTGCCCCGTCGTTTGTGGGTTTCTCTCTTAGCTAAACGGTTGCTCCACGTTTCAGTTGCAGACCATACCGAGCGACGGCAAGCTGGCAACAGTGTCACTTTATACGACAACTAATGCAGTTTCACCGTACATTCACTACTAAACGAAACGATTTGAAAAAAAAACACGCAAAACATGTAGGCAACCGTCCTGGCGCAGAGCTGCCGTGTTTTGCGTGCGCATCTCTGGGCCAGCGCCATCTAGCGGCTGGCATGCTGCGACCCCTTCCCAACTTCCCCTAAATTTTAGCCCCATCTAGCGGTCGCAGCCACAATCCAAAACCTGCACTTGTACATTCACTTTATATTCTGTATGATATATTTATATTGAGCACCCGCCGAGCGGTTTACCACTTGTTGTTGTATATGTTTGGTGTTTGAGATGATTTTTAGCTCCCCGATCGGGTCGCAGGGCGGCTGTCGAGGCAACGTTTCCACAGCTGTCGCGCCGGCCATCTTCACTCTCACTCTCTCTCTCTCTCCATCCCCTCCCCACCAAACACAAGCACTATTGGTTGACACTTTGCGTTTCTATGAATTACATATGATATATTACAGGGTATCTCGATAGGATACATTATCCTCACATATGATTCTAGTTAAGTACCAATGCCGGTTGGTTATCTTCAAATACATAGTCTCTTTTTGCTTTCCCTGTACATAATTTACATTGTTGTCACTGTGCCGGACCAGACAGATTGACGCCGCGATTTTAGACCCTGTTTCGACAGCATTTTATCGTGCGACAGCATCGCTTCGCGTTAGATCCCAACCTAGTGCTTGATACGATAAAACCAAATTTCCCTACTTTCCAAGCCTTTAGACCACGTAGATGTTTTAATGACGAGAGTTTTAGCGCGTGCGCCCGGGGAGCAGGCGACGTTTCGTCCGGCGGCCATCATCAAATCAAACTCCTCCCCCGGGCGGCATCGGCTTGTTGTTCTGTATGGCCCGCTTTTAGACCACCCCCGATGTCCCCCACCTTTCTCCTGTCCCCCCCCCCACTCCTTTTTAGTATTTCCGCCTAGATCTGAATGCGTTTAGAATGGGCACAATGAGTTTCAAATTATATACATATATATATATATGAATGTTTCTTGTTATTATGTGAATATTCTATGGAGTCACGGGGAGCGGGTGGGGGGCAACGTAGGGGAACCCATAGATAAGTCTCTGTCTCCGTCTTTGTCTCCCGCTGCGCCCCCACTTCCATATGTGTTGTTTTCCTTTTTTAGTGGTAGGTATTCACTTGTTTTAGCCGGTGTAGGCTTGTTAATATTAATATATTATTAATTATCATAGTAGGTCCTGTATATTTGTCAGTACAAACGAACACCAATGCTGGATTTTTTCGAATTTTGCGTGCGCATATACAGAGTGAGCCCAAAGAAGAATGGTAGATTTTTCAATTTATTCTAAATACTTGTAAGTGATAAGCGAGGTGGCGGGTAGACGTAGCCCATAAAACAACCGTATAAAACTAGGTTATATGCATTTATACCGGGTGATTCAAATGAGGGCGATTTCGATCAAAAATCACAAAACAATTATCAGTGGCGTACCATTTTTTCTTCAAAAAAGTTGAATCTCATGTTGGGTCAGGCGCCACTGGGACTTTCAGGTTTCAAATTCTGTGTTTTTCATGTTTTTTGCAAAATGCGGCGTTTTTGAGTCACCCAGTATCAGTTAGGAGGAAGGTAATCAATTCATTGTTTCGTTCGTTCGTTCGCGCTCCTCCAGAGGGATTCAACGGAAAGATGACATTTGGCAGCAGTGTAACGGGGGGCGTGATCGTGGCCGCACGCCACTGTCCAGGACATACCAGTAAGTTTTAGATAGACAATTCCTGAATGTGTACCTGAACGTAATTTTTTAGGCAAATTTGCGGTTTTGCCCTCATTTATACAGGGTGTTACAGGGGAAATCCCGGTAACCGTAACAGATCGAAAGTTGGTTAAATCGGGGGAAAATTGCGCATTTTCCTGCCAAAACTGGGTTTGAAAAATTGCGAAAATTCCCACTACTTCCGTGGATTTGAAAACATAAAGGTGGCTGGAAAACGAAACGTTGCATATTTCCAAAAATATGACAAATTTAGAAACGAAAATGCGTGCTTTTTCCCCTAATTCGACGGACTTTGTTCTCTAACGGTTGGTTTAGAACATCAGCCGCCAGATGGAACAGCTTACTGTTTCCGCCCCATTGAGCGTAGATAGCGTTAAAAAATTGCCACGTTGCCAAATGCCCCTAGTGAATATACTTAAATGGCGCAGGTCCTGGGCGTGACCGACGGCGAGCCACGCCCCCCGCACAGTGGCGTGCCAACGGCCCCGAACAACCGATGAACAAAAATAATGACGAATTCTCATTTAGTTAGGCCCTGCCCCGCTAGAGCAGTTTTTTATACACATGCGCAGAGTGTAGAGCGAGTATTTTTTTAATGCCAATGATGATGACAAACACTAAATAGAGAAAAAAAAACACTTCAATAATGTCAATTAATGGACTTAAGTTTAGAGGTTTAGAGACACTCAATAGATCTTAGAGCGATGATGTCATGAAACGTGTGCACATCATCATCGTTTCATTCCAATATTTAATCAACTTCACAGTATTATAGGCTGGAGGCAGACGTTTCGGCCGCCTTGAAGGCCATCATGTGATTTTTCCAGAAGTTTTACCAGTCGCATATATATATTATATAGTCATTATATTTGGCTGTCGGTAAGCGAGAAGTAGATAGGTATATAAGTTTATATGGCCGCTGCGCGGGGGCGGGGCCAGGCAAGCCCCGCCCTCGCCACCATTAACGGCAATCGACCAAAGGTATATTAACAAAAAAAAATGTCAATACTAATGTCAATGCGGATTCATTTTCATGGTTCTCTCTCTCTCTCTCTCTCTATCTATCAATCAATCTCTGATAGTGGGCGTGGCGGGGATTGGGACACGCCCCCAGTGCCCCCACCCTCTATCAACTGATAATGTCAATGCAGAGCAATATACGTAGCTAGTGGAAAAATCTATACGAATACCGTTCAGTTTATGCGCGTATTTTCTTCTTCTTCTTCTTATTCTTCTCTAGTTGAAAACTGTGTTAACTTGATTTCTAAGTGCTAGTCGATAAGGTTTAGGCGAAAAACAAAAAGACAGACGAACCGGGGCCGGTCCTATTTTTGTCCCGATGCGATTGAGGCCTAAAATGATGCGCCGCCTATGGGGACCGGTCCTTCGGCCGACGCTCAACAATCGCAGAAAAATGCGCGCCCCCTGGCGGGGGACGTTTTGCCTCTAGTGATTTAATTAGACGTATTTAGTAGAAAACATTCTTGTGCCCCCTTTGAGGGGGCCGCCACGCCCTCATTTATGGATGGAGGGGCAGTGGCGTGCCCCGCACGACAATCTGGGCAGAAATTGGGCAAAAATTCCGAAAAAATTAAGAGTTTTCGCGTGCAGCGCATGTTCCGTCCGGCAAGACTTCGAAGTTCTAGTGACCGTTCCCGGTAAAACGGCCCTCGCCAGTGGCGCGCGTTTCCGCAAAATCGTCGTCCTTTGACGACTGACATATCAGCTAACAAAGCGGACACATTCGGCTACCAAATCGGAGGAACTAAACAAGAAAAACCAAAAAAAAAATGCAGAAAAACTGAAAAAATTAACAAAAAACGGCAACAACGTAACCCTAACGCTTATTGAGAGCTGCTGTTCGAAGCCC